ACCTGCCAGTGAGCTTGAAACTCCCCTGGTCTCCACAGCACCCTGGGTGGGGGCGAGGAAGGGGCAGCTGGACCCTGCTAGGATCTCTGGGGTGTGGAGGCCTTTGGAGCTTCTTGTCCTCATCGAGATTCTCCTGGAGAGCCCCAGAAATTATGGGCTGGGACGAGCTCATTTCAACCCTCGCCCTACTAAGGAAGAGACTGAGAGTCAGACAGAATCAGAGAGAGAAGCGAGTTGCCCAGGGGCACCCACCGCATGGACAACAGAGAGCCAGGGTGACCAGATAGATGGGTGGTGGTGAGCAGGGGCAGATTTAAAAGTTAGCAAATCGGGGTTTGAATCTTGGCTCTGCCACGTATTGGCTGTGTCCCCCTGGGTGAGCTGCTCACCCCCTGCAAGCCTCCACTTTGCCACCTGTAAAATGGGGATAATCTCTAATTCACATAATTCTCGTGAGGATGAAAAGAGATCACAGTGCCAAGTACAGGAATAGGCTTAATAAATGTTAGCTGAAAGCAACCCACCGGAAAAAGCAAAGAAGAAAAACATAGGGAAGGGTGTTTCAGGCAGAGACAAACGTGAGCCAAGGTTCAGAGGTGGAAGAGGCCAAGGCCTGTGCCTGAAGTCTGTGCCAGCTGGCAGGGACAGTGCCCTGTGATGGTGGATGAGGCAGAGGGTGGGCAGGGGCCAGGCCGCAGTGGGCTTGTGGGCTTTATTAATTCTGAGGACATGATGGGATGAGAGAGCGGGGCAGTACCTCAGGCAGATCTGAGTTTAGAAAGCCCACCTGGGGCCTAGCATGGTGTCTTTGCTGACTTGCTGTGTGACCCCAAGCTGCCTCCATCCCTTTCTGGGCCTCAGCCTCCTGCCTCTACAGCAATGAGGGTGGCTCTGATCAGGGTTTGCAAATATGTGTATTCTTTTGTGAGTTTCCTTCTTTACTGCCCTCTCCCCGGTGGACAGGGCGCTCCCTGAGCACAACTTTGTCATCTGTTCCCCACACTGCCCCCAGAATCCAGTGTCCCCAGCACCCAGCCCAGAGTCTGTCACAGAGACAATTTCTCATCAAATGAATGAGTGAGTGAATGGATGGATGAATGACATCTTTTCCCTTGGGGAGGGCGGAATCCCACAGTCTCCCACTCACCCTCCACACACACCCACAGATCTGCCTCCAGTGGGGGCACACTGGCCCACCTGCCAGTTTCCCTTCCCTCTTGCTTTTTTCCCTTCTCTCCGGACAATGGCTTTGTTTCTATTGTTCTTTCTGGAGAGTGAGAGTACCTTCATGGTGGCACCGAAAGGCCAATAGTGGTTCTCCAGGTATGCCATGAAGGTGCCTCTGATTTTCTCCTTTATACATTTCTCTATTTCCTTCTACGAACAAATGTGATTTTTCAAATAAAAATCAATGATACAAAGGAGGTAAGCAGATCGTAAAGGAAATACAAATGGCTTTTAAACATAAGAAAAACTGCTCGGCTTCCTTCAAATAAAATAAATGCAAATGATAACTACCCTGAGAATCCAATTTTCCACTTGTGCAACTGGCAAGGATCCAAGTTGGCTAACTGTCTGTGTTGGTGAGGAAATGCCTGCCTCATGCCCTGCGTGGGTGGAAACAGGCCCTGCCCCTCCGGAGCACAATGTGGCAATATGTATGAAAGTGTCAAATGCAAATCACCTTCAACCCAGCAGTTGTACTTCTTGGAATTTATCCATCAGATATGCTCATTCATGGAACAAATGAGGGGAAGATCTTACCCATTGCAACATTGCTTGTGATGGCAAAATATCGGAGACCTAAACGTCCATCAGTAGGAGACTGGCCAAGTACACAACGGTTACTCCACACCAAAGAGTACCGGGCAGCTTCAAAACAACAAATGAGCCAGTGGGGCAGCTCTTATGTAATGACGCAGCCCAGAATAAGGTCCAGGATATAAAGATACGTGGAAAAAGTACAAGGCAGACTCGTGTATGTGGTCTGCTGCTATCTCTGAGTAAAAAGGGCAATCTATATATATTTGTATTTGCTTATAAATGCATCAAATATCTCTGGAAAGATGACAAGAAGCATAACTTTGCTTTGGGGGGAGGGGGATTAGGTTGCTGGGACTGGGGTGGGAGGGAAGCTTTTCACTGTAAACCTTTTGGTACCTCTGGCTATTTGAATGATATCATGTAAAATCCATCCAAAAAATATTAGAATTTAAAAACAAAATAAAAAGTAAGGGAAAGTTTGAATAAGGAAAAGAAGATAAATCTACTTTACTCCCTCCTCCCCCTTAAATGTGTGCCTACAAATTTCCCAGTGTCACTGGCTATGAAAATTGTCCTTGGAGTCTGTGGAGGAAGCAGAAGTCCAGGAGACAGGTGACCTGCCCAAGGCCACTGGGTGGCTTTGCCAAGGACCCAGTCACCACTTATAATTTTCTGAACAACTAGGATGATACCAGATAGGACCCCTGGAATTTTCTGTGTTGTTCCTTGCCTTCCGTGTCTGTTCTAGAGAAGGCTTGTAATAGGCCAGAGGGGAGAATTGACGCGGACTGCTTGGCTCGTGGCAAAAAGAAAGAAATCAGTTAAGATTCAGGGATGTAGGCAAGTGGGGTTTTCCACCTTATATCGGAGGAGGGAATCTCCCTCTTGGGATCTCATTTTCTCTGGGATCTCGTTCTTGGAGGAATGGCCCAGAGCTCCAACGCCCCCTGTTACGTCTGAATCAATTGAGGTCACCAATAATAGGTGGAGAACAAATACTTGCCATATAGAGGACAGAACTGAGCAGTAATAACTATGATACCCAAAGTGCTTTTATAATTGACAAGAAGGGGGTGAACAGACGTTAGGAAAATGCGCCAAGGATGAGTGAGGCAGTTTATGGAAATAAATGATGGAAAGATGCTCAAGTTCACTGCAGCCAGGGAAATGCAGAGTAAGAATGAGAAGGTCCTCTACACCCAGCAGTCTAGGGGATATTCTGGGAAGGGGGTGTTCTCCTCCCACACAGTTGGTAGGATGTGAAGTTTACAGCGCTGGGGGAAAGGAATGCAAACACCCCTGGACCCAACCCTCCCCCTCCATGCAATCTCAGCCCCAGAAATAAAAGCAACCCCATAAAATTACATGCTCTCCATAGCAGCAAAACACTGAAGGTAATGTGAATGCCCTTCAGCAGGCAGGCGGGGGATGTGTTATGGTACCGCCACTGCCCCTGAGTTAGTGGCACCCCCCCAGTGGGGGGGCAGGAGGGAGGCACAGAGGCTAGGAATAAGGACGCAGGGACCAGAGTTCAAATCTTGACTTTTGTGACTTGGGTATGTGCCTTTATTCCTTTGTGCCTCAGTTTCCTCACCTGTGAAGGATGACAATACTAGTGCCTGTTTCATAGGGTTGTGATGATTAAATGAGCAACTATGTGCAAAGTATTTAGTGTCCAGTTCAGAGAAGTGCTACTTAACTGTTTGCTAAATAAATGTCGTAGAGGGATCCCTAAAAGCTTATTGGTGAGGTAGAAAGTTACGACGCAGAAAATATTGTCATCTGCATCGACAAGGCCCTATAGATGTCTAGGCGTGTCTGTGATTTCAGGAGCATAGAAAACTGTGGGACACATCCTTGGCTGTCGAGAAGGATTACCATAGGAGGAACGTGGGAGGGGTAAGCAAAAGAAAAACACTTAAAGCTTCTGTATGATCATTTTTAGGCAGTTATTAAATTATATACATGTATATGTATAGAGGAAGTTTCAGTGATTTAAAAAAAGGAAGAAGAAGGAAACCAACAGAGAAAATTACTTCTCTATCTCCCACAGGGCCAGGATGGGGGTGCCCCAGCAGTAATGTGAAGAGCAGAAGTCCAGCCAATGACAGATTCTTCCCAACACATTTGTTTATTTCAAAATCAAACAATCTCTGATAAATATTTACCCCCAATGCCTGCGGAAAGAGGGAGGGAGGTACTGAAACCCCATCAGTTGTTTGAAGGATTGCCTTTTATCTGTGGGAACTTCCCTAGAAAGTGCTTTGCAGCAACCTCCCCCACAACGTGCGCGCGCGCGCACACACACACACACACCCCTTTCTGGACCTCACCTGTAAAAAGGGAATCTCGATGCTAGTTTTTCCACGCTAGCAGTTGGGGCCGAGAAGGTCTTAGACAGGACAAAGTTCAAAAAACTCCAGGAAAGAGGGTACTTCTCACCCATAGGTAGGACAGATTACTGCCCCCTCCCCAGGTGGCCCTCCAATCCATTCTCCACATAGCAGATCTTCCAAAATACAAATCTGATCTTGCCATCCCTCCTTAAAACCATTGTATTGTCATCCAAATTTAATACAATTTTTTTTTTTATCAGGCCACAAGGTCCTGCTGGATCTGGCATCCTGGCACATCCTGGAAATGCCGTGCCCTCGGGTGCTTAGTTCTTTTTTCTTTTCACACACTGTTCCTTCCCTTTGCCTAGAAACCTCTCCCCCAACCCCCAAGGCCTCAGCCAAGATGTCGCTTCTTCCAGGAAGCCTTCCCAGGCTGCCCAGGGCCGGTTAGGGGCCCTAGTAGCATAGGCGCCTGGTTTTGAGTCTATTGCCCAGCAATTGGGCTGTCAACTCGTGAGGACAGAGGCCGCATCTCTGCAGCCTGCGGTCTCTACGCTGAGTCGGGATATTTCGGGGCCGGGATTCAATGACCTCCATAAGGTGTCCGATGTCTGTCATTCTATCCCAGCTCGGAGCTGGTTCAGGCCTGGAGCAGGGGCTGAGGGCTGCTAACTAGGACTGGCTATTTCCAGGAGTGCGGCCGGGTCCTTGGGAGGATGATGATGCAAAGAGTGCGTGTTCCTCTAAGGCCGAGGACGCCGCCGGGAGCGTGCCCCTCAAAAACATGGGCGAAGTCCTCCGACGCGCCCGGGCCTGCCCCTCACAAGGATGGCATCCCGCGAAATCTTATTGGTGCCAGTGGGCTTCTTGGGCGGCGCTGATTGGCGGAAGGCGGGGGCGGGGCGAGGCGGGGCGGGGCGTTTCCCGCCCGGATTTAGAGTACCGACGCCCGCGCGGCGACTATGTCGCGGGCACGCAGCCACCTGCGCTCCGCTCTCTTCCTGGCTGCGATTTCTCCGCTCAGTGCAACGACCCGGTTCGGGGCGCGGCGAGGGTTGAGCGCGTGGCCCGCGCCGCAGGAGCCCGGCATGGAGTATCAGGTATCCGGCGGGCTGGCGGGCGGTCGTGCGATGACACGTGGGCCGGGCCTGAGCCACACAGCATCCGGGCTCCGGCAGCTGAGGGGATCAGGAGCCTGGGACTGGGGGACTTGCGGGGCGGGGACTTCCTGGAGGCCGGGGGAGGGGACAGGGACCAGGAAGTTGGGCCCAGGCTGCTGGATCTGGGAATTCTGAGGCTGAAGTGTCCCGCGTTAGAGAGTGGGAAGGGGCGCCCGGTGATAGGACCAAGAGGTCCAGTGGCTCAAACCGGGGTTCTGGAGTTCTAGTGTCTCTGGAGTCGCAACCAGCAGTTGGGAGGGGGGGATGGGAAGGGAAGGGGACTCAGAAGTTCAGACTTGAGAGATCCAGGAGTAGAGATCTGGGGTTGGAGTCTCCAGGATTCAGGAGATGGAGATCCAAGTGCCTGGAATTAGGAGGCAGGCAGGAATCGGGCAGTGGGTGAGGCAAGAATCTGGAAAACAGAAAATTTCCGCCTGGCTCTATGCCAGGAGCCAGTTGCCAGAGACCAGAACCTGGTCCCAGACAGGCAGGTGGCACCGGTTTGATGGGGGTGGAGCCTCCAACCAATTATTGAGGCCCTGAGAGGAAATAAACAGCACCCCACCCTTACCCCCAGTGTGGTCTCTCCTGAGGCTCTACCTACCTGCCTTCTGGGCTGGATGAACCTGAACACACCCTCCTCCCTCCAGGTCTCCTTCTCTTCCCTGTCTGCTTGCTTCAAGCAGCTCTTCTCTGGGTCAGAATGTGGAACCCCAGTCCTCGGGGTTGGGCATGGAAGCCTCCAGGAGTTCCTGGTTCTAATTCTTCCAGTTCTAAGACCCCAGCCTTCTGTGGTTCTCACCCCAGTAGGGGCCCAATATAGTGGGGGAGCCCAAACAGGAAGCAAGGTTAGCCCCGTTAGTCATGCTCCTGCTTTGCCTGGCACTCCCTGGGTGGGGCTGAACTGCCCCAGGCTGCCATTTTTGCCAGAGCTGGAAAGATGCCACTTCTTTCTTACTGGTGCCTAACCTCCTGGCTGGGGCAACAGGGCTGGCATGCTGGTGCGCTGGGTGCCTCTGTCCCTGTGGACCCCTAGTGAGACTTAACCTGCTACCTGGGGACTGTGGTTGCCAGGATGCTGTGCGCACACTCAACACCCTGCAGACCAATGCCAGCTACCTGGAGAAGGTGAAGCGCCAGCGGGGTGACCCCCAGACACAGCTGGAAGCCATGGAGCTGTTCTTGGAACGGAGTGGGCTACAGGTAAGGTGGGCGGGGACTGTGACCACGCCCACTCCTGTCTGTCTGTGAGTCCTGTGGCTGAGGCAAGGACCTTGTCTGTGTGTCCCAGGTGGAGGACTTGAACCAGTTGAACATCATTCATGTCACTGGGACCAAGGGGAAGGTGAGCAACAGGACCCAGGGGTAGGGTGTCCATGTGGTGGGGTGGTGGGGTGGCGGGGTGGTGGGATGGCAGGGTGGTGGGGTGGTGGGTGGGCCTGCCCAGACAAGACCTTTCCTTTCTAGGGTTCCACCTGTGCCTTCACTGAACGTATCCTCCGCAGCTATGGCCTGAAGACGGGATTCTTTAGGTACTGTGGTGCAGAGGGATGTGGTGTCTCCTGGCTCTTGGGGGGTGCTGTGGAACCCGCCAGCACCTCAGGGCCAGGGTCACCCCCAGGAACTCAGCTGCCTGTCTCTCTGCCCCGTGTTTATTCATTCAACAAACAGTCAATTAGCACTTCCCTTATTGGCCCGAGTTTATAGCAGTCTTTAATTTTCATAATGAAAAAAATTGGGGAGAGGGGCAGCAACTTGAACGTATAAACTAAATACATAGATGGGATAGTCAGATATCTTTTTATTAACTTAAATTCCATATACAGTTTTTAAATCACGTAGAAATACTTATCAGTTAGGACATCTTGCAAAAAGGAGCAGAAAATCTGCCTCATAATGGCTTAAACAATAAGGGTAGTGTACAACGTCCATGCCGAGGCCCCTGCAGTGGGCAGCAGAGAGGAGCCCTCTTGCTCTGGCAGCCTCAGCTGCTGCTTTCCCTCAAGGCAGCACCCCCTCTTGGTTGCACTCAGGCATCTAAACTCACACCAGAGGATTGGGGGGGCTGGCTAGACATGGGTCCCTCTTCCCTGAGCTATACATGTTCTTCTAAGCCTGTCATGGGTAAAGCAGCGGGATTAACGTGATGGTTAATTGCTCAGGATTTGGTCCCTGGCGTTGAGGCATTTAAGATTTTTGCCTCCTTTTATTTTACCAGTTCTATCAAGTGACCTCTGTAAGCATCTGAAACCAGCTGACTGAGGTCATTTCAGGCCAATGTGTTTTCCCTAAACAGTTCTTTGTTCAAAATAAAGAAATGGAGAGAAAAGAGTCATAATATGAGAGGGCCTTTGAGGAGTCAAATATAAGCCAACAGTCTCTCTTCTAAAATAATTTTTGGGGGGCCGGCCCGGTGGTGTAGTGGTTAAGTCTGCGCACTCTGCTTCGGCAGCCCGGGGTTCACAGGTTCGGATCCCGGGCACAGACCTATGCACTGCTTGTCAAGCCATGCTGTGGCAGGCGTCCCACATATAAAGTAGAGGAAGATGGGCACGGATGTTAGCCCAGGGCCAATCTTCCTCAGCAAAAAGAGGAGGATTGGCAACAGATGTTAGCTCAGGGCTAATCTTCCTCATCAAAAAGAAATAATAATAATAATAATTTTTTGGTTAAACACCCAGCCTTCAACTTGGGCCCATGTGGCCTCGTGGGCCAGCCCAGGGATGCAGCTTAAACATGGCAGATGGGGCCTTGCCCTTGAGGGCTGGCACATGCACGTTATGCAGGCAGAGATTGGCAGAGTGACTGATGGGTGTGTGATGGGGAAAGCACAGCAGGCTGTTGGAGCCCAGAGAACATGCCTGACCAGCCTAGGGGGGAGGGTCCTTTCTCCTTTCTGTAGGAGGGACCGTCTCAGTTGAGACTGTGGAGTGAGCCAGGTGAAGAGAGTGGGGAAGGGCAGGTGCAAAGGCCTGGAGATAGAAAGGGGTGGGGGGGCTGGAGGAACTGAAAATAGTCCAGAGGGCTGGGGCACAGGGAACTAGCAAGGGATGTGGGGGAGGTGAGGCACAGAGGCCAGTGGCATCCGCCCTCCCGGGGCCTGGGAGGCCGAGGTGAGGAGCTGGGACTCTTGAAGGCAAGGGGAAGCCACAGAAGGTTTTCAGAAGGGCAGTGACACGGTCAGATTTGTATTTCCAAAAGATGGGTCTGACTGCGGGGTGGGGAAAGGCCTGGGGAGCTCAGGAAGGGGAGTCCCGATGACCCCAGGTCTCCCGGCAGCTCTCCCCACCTGGTGCAGGTGCGCGAGCGGATCCGCATCAATGGGCAGCCCATCAGCCCCGAGCTCTTCACCAAGCACTTCTGGCGCCTCTACCAGCGGCTCGAGGAGACCAAGGTGTCCATGCAGGAGGGCTGGTGGGTGGGCAGGGTAGGGGGCCTGGAGTGGGTGGATAGACCCAGAGGGCGTTGCATGTCCCAGGACCCCATTTCCTCAGAGCAGAGGCTGCAGTGGCCCCAGGCTCTGACATGTTCCTGTCCACAGGATGGCAGCAGCTGTGCCTCTATGCCTGCCTACTTCCGCTTCCTCACACTCATGGCCTTCCACGTCTTCCTCCAAGAGAAGGTGCATGCCCACACCCCAGAACCCTGTGTCTGAGGCTTTGGGGAGGGAATCTCAGCAGGCTGAGGGGCTTCCATGAGGCATCTGGGCCCCCCTGTGCCCCCTGCCATGCCCTCTGTACTTCTGCAGGTGGACCTGGCAGTGGTGGAAGTGGGCATTGGCGGGGCTTACGACTGCACCAACATCATCAGGTGAGGGTGGCTGTTTGGGCAGAGGGATGGTGGCCAGGATCCCAGGCAGCCTGGGCGGGGGGCGTCATGGCCCTTTCGTCTTCCCCAGGAAGCCTGTGGTGTGTGGGGTCTCCTCTCTTGGCATCGACCACACCAGCCTCCTAGGGGACACAGTGGAGAAGATTGCATGGCAGAAAGGTGGCATCTTCAAGGTGACCAGTCAGCCCTGGGGAGGGGAGATACATGGACAGCCTGAGCCTGGCCCTCAAGGCTCAGGGAAGTGGGGCTGGGGTAGGGTCCTTGTACCCTGACTCAGGACGAGGTCTTGGGCAGCAGCGGGGTCTGAGTTCTTGTCTTGGCTCTGTGTGTGACTGGAGCAAGTTGAGTCCCTTTCTGGCCTTAGTCTGCCATCAAGAGGTTCCCATAGGTCCTACAGGGGGAGGCTAAGTGGGCCGTCCAGACCCAGGGATGTGGGGGCCAGAGATGCGAGGCATCTCTGTGTCTTCCACAGCGTGGCGTCCCTGCCTTCACCGTGCTTCAGCCCGACGGTCCCCTGGCGGTGCTGAGGGACCGCGCCCAGCAGATCTCAGTGAGTCTGATTGGAAGTGCTGGGTGGGGGCGGCTGGCTGGGGAGGCACTTGATCCTTTTGGGCCTCAGTTTGCTCATCTATGCAGTGAGGGCCAGCTGCTCGTCCAGCTGGAGCACATCTCGTTCTATGAGCAAGGCTTGGAGGGCTCTGGTTGGTGGAGAAATGTGGAAGGGCTGATGGTATCAGGGAGGGCCATCTGGCCAGGGTGGCAGCAGCAGCTCCCCTGACCAGCTGCTGCCCGTCTCCTCTGCAGTGTCCTCTCTACCTGTGCCCACCTCTGGAAGCCCTGGAGGAAGGGGGACCTCCGCTGACCCTGGGCCTGGAGGGAGAGCACCAGCGGTCCAATGCCGCCTTGGCCTTGCAGCTGGCCCGCTGCTGGCTGCAGCAAAAGGACCACCAGGGTAAGTGGGCAGGTGAGTGGGGAGGCAGGGGGGCAGGGGGCATGTGGAGTCTGCCTCTGAGGGTCCTGAGCACACTCAGTCCCGCACAGCCCAACTTCCCCCCTCCCTTGCCCCCCAGGCATCGGGGAACTGAAGGCATCCCGGCCGAGCCTCCAGTGGCAGCTGCCCCTGGCACCCATATTCCAGCCCACGTCCCACATGCAGCATGGTGAGTTGGGCCTTTCTGCCCAGCTAGGCCCCTTCGGATGTTTCTTTCATTTTCCTGTTTGAGGGCTGGGGCAATTTGAGGTAGTGTCCAAGAGAAAGGACTCTGAAGTCAGTAAGCTTCATGAATTCTCTCTGAGCCTCAGTTTCTCCACCTGCCAAATGAGATGATAGGACCCACTGTGCGGTGGTGACATCACTAGGAGACTGAGCCAGAGCCTGGTGGGTATGGGATGAAGTGCCCAGCCAGTGGTAGCTGGCGTTACTGTCGTCCTTGTCATCGTCATCATAAGACCATAATGTTCTTGAGGATGGTGATAGTGTCAGGCTTCTTGCTTCCCCCAAAGCTTTCAGCACACAGTAGGTGCCCATGGCTGTTAAACTCCTTCAGCAAATGGTTCCAGTGTGCCGACTGTGTGCCAGGCCCCGTGTCCGGCCTATGACAGTCCTGGAGCCAGGTAGATCCCGGATCACGTCCCGGCCCCAGGACTCACTTGCTCTGTGACCTAATCTCTCTGAGCTAAGGGCTCTCCTTCTATAACATGGGAAAAATATAAAATAGCAGCCCCTCTCAGGGCTGCCTGGAAGATTCCACCAGACGAGGTAGCCGAAGAGCTGCTCCCAGTACTGGCGCCCAGTAAGTCTCCTGGGCTGATCAGATCCTCAGAGCGCTCAGAGGGGGGCGCTGCGGGAGGGTCGTATGTACGAGCTGAGGACTGGGGTGGGAGCGGATACGAGAGGGCTTCCTCTCGGCGGCCGCTGGAGGGCTGCCTTGTCCCCCTCCCCAGGGCTCCGGGACACGGAGTGGCCTGGCCGGACGCAGGTGCTGCGGCGCGGGCCGCTCACCTGGTACCTGGACGGCGCGCACACCGTCAGCAGCATGCAGGCCTGCGTGCGCTGGTTCCGCCAGGAGCTGCATGGCCGCGAGAAGCCGGACGGGTGAGCGGCGGGCGGGGGCGGGGCCTCGGACGGGGGCGAGACTGAGGCGGGGCCTCGGAGAAGGGTGCGGCGGGACTGGGCCAGTGGGGGAGGGACGGGGCCTCAGGGGAGGGGCGGGGCCC